GTGGGCCCTTGATATCAGGAAACTCACTATGTTCTTGGGCCAAGGTGTCAATGAGCTCTGAGAGTGTTAGCTACTACTCCATGAAGCAGGTGCAGGTATTAAGCCATCAGAAGCAGAGAAAGTCAAGCAACTTGTCCAGACTCCTAGAGCTGAACTGCCTAGCAGAGGTCTTCAAAAAAGTTCTGGAAAAATGCATATGATGAAAATAAGTGAGGCATGTTTGCAGCAAAGTAAGCCAGTTAATTCTGTTTTTCCCATTAACTTTGTAAAGTAACTGAATTACATAGCCTGGGCTGTCTTCTCTAAAGCTGCTGATTTTAGCCTCCGCTCTCTGTTCCTTCCCAAGAGGATTATCAAACGGTGAGAATACCCAGCAATGCAAGGTGAAATGACTACTGAGATCACAAGTCTTACAGAACCTGGGGGATTTCATGAAGGTAGCAGTGGTGATGGGTAACATAGGAAATTATGCACAAGCCACTGAGTGATGAGATGCTAGCACAACCGGTTAACAACTGAAGAAAACTGACCATAGAATAAAATGAGCCCATCTGGCATGAATTATCTCAGTCTTCATTCAACCAATATCTACCTTCCACATGTCAGGACCTGTTGTAAATGCCAGAGGTGAGTATACGCCACGTCTGCCCTCTTGGAAGGTACACATTGTGTGAGAGAGAGTTATTCAGGCCCGGTGCAATAGCATAGCGGTTAAAGTCCTCACCTTGAATGCACCAGGAACCCATATGGGCACCGGTTCTAATCCTGGCAGCTCCACTTCCCATCCAGCTCCCTGCTTGTGGCCTGGGAAAGCAGTCTTGTGGCCTGGGAAAGCAGTCGATGACAGCCCAAAGCCTTGGGAACCTGCACCCTTGGGACCTGGAAGACCTGGAAGATGCTCCTGGCTCCAGATTGGTTCAGCTCTAGCCATTGTGGCCGCTTGGGGAGTGAATCATTGGACCGAAGATCTTATCTGTCTCTCATCCTCTCTGTGTATCTGCCTTTCCAATTAAAAATAAATAAATAAATCTTAAAAAATCAACATCAGAGTCATTTTAGTCCATTTGTAAGAATTAGCACGTAGGGGCCCGGCAGCATGGTCTAGCAGCTAAAGTCCTCGCCTTGAACGCACCGGGATCCCATATGGGCGCCGGTTCTAATCCCGGCAGCTCCACTTCCCATCTAGCTCCCTGCTTGTGGCCTGGGAAAGCAGTCGAGGACGGCCCAAAACTTTGGGACGCTGCACCCATGTGGGAGACCTGGAAGAAGTTCCTGGATCCTGGCTTCATATCGGCATAGCATCGGCAGTTGCGGTCACTTGGGGAGTGAATCATCGGACGGAAGATCTTCCTCTCTGTCTCTCCTCCTCTCTGTCTCTCCTCCTCTCTGTATATCTTACTTTCAAATGAATAAATAAATCTTAAAAAAAAAAATTAGCACATAGTTGTGACTGTGAACCAAAATTTGAGATTGTTCACACAATGCAAGTTCAAAGTTATCTTTTCCTGATTTTTAGTTTTATTTTTGAAGTCAGAGGCCTGACCAACCCCCCCCCCCACCCCCCGGACCTCATTTACTTCAATTTTGGTTCCCCTTTTAAAAGGGCTTAATTTTAAATGACTCATGTTTCTGCCAATGAGTTCCTGAGCCCAGACTGTGGCTGTGAGTGGAGCCATGCCCACCCAAGGGGTGCTTGCACGGAAAGTGAGATGATCGCTGGGAAAGCTTTGAGTGTAAGGTCACAGGGTGTCATGGGTGCAAGAGACGTGTGCCCAAGAAGATGCAAAAGAAAAGGAATCTATCAGCCGGGAGGTGCTGGTAACTGCACTGAAGAGCTCTCGGGGCATTGGGTCATGAGAAACCCTACACGTTAAGCATGAGCATGCATGAGAATGTGAGTGTGGCCTTGCAAAACACTAAAGCTAATCTATTGAGGCTGACTTCCATGAGTTTGAAATTTTTGTATTGGTGTTTTGCGATAATACAGAATTATCACTTTTTGCTCATCCAACTTGCTGTATCTAGTGGTTGTTTGAATCTCACGATTTTAACTAAACTTTCTGATAGCAAACTTATCCACTTAACTGCAAAGCACTTCATATGAGAGGCTAGGCTTGATTTCACATCTGCTAATATCTCGCTATGTCCTATGCATTGCATACAAATAACGCTTTTTATTAGTGTCTTTATGCAAGCTAACACAAATATATTTTTCTTGTTTTTTCCCCCTACTAATGGTAGCATGTTTTGTTCTGTATCTTGCTTTTTTCCTTGTAACACTGTATCTTGGAGATTTCCCCATATAAGTGTGTTGATTTATAGATTATACTATATCATAATCTATATAATATAAAATATATATTATGCTATGTGATATATATAAGTATAGAAAGCTTTTTCTTGTGGTATTCTTTGGATAAACTGGTATCTTTACAAATGGCCATTTATATTGTTTCCAAAAGGAATTCTGTAACTTTGAAGCTTTGACATCCTTCATATGTGCACATATGAAGAATAGGATAAATTCTCAAAAGGATTGTTAAATCAAAGGAAATGTGTGTGCATGCACGGGGCACATGCATGTGAGACGGTGCCACAGTCCCCTCCTAGAGCCCGATGCCAATTTGCATTCCCATCAGCACCGTAGCAGAGCTTGCTGCCCCCGTGTCTCACCAGTGTTATCAAACAGTTGGCTTTCTATCAATTCAGTAGATTAAAAAAAAGCAGCCTCAATGTACTTCAACTTGAATTTTTATTCTTATTCATGAACTTGAGCACCTTTCCATGTATCTGCGAGCTTTTTGCCCATCTATCTGATACACTGAAAAACATCAGGAGGAAGAAAATGGTTGGTAAGAAAAGTGACTTTGAATGCTTTCCTGGCTCTTCACCTGCATTGGAAATATCAGTAGCATCAGATTGGTGCACAATGTTAGCATGTAAAAGGCGGCTCAACTGCCTATGGACCACCAAGCTGAATGGCCTCACCATGCTTTCCCAGGGGGTCCACCCTGCCCGGAGAAAATGGAGAGTGTCCAAGAAATATTCACTCAACAACCATCCCCGAGGGGCTTCATGAGCTGGCATTGCAGTGGAAGAAGACGGATACAACATGTAAGCAAAGTCACTTAATCTGGGAGGAGGTGGTAGGTACTGTGGGGGAACAGAAAGACTGGGAATGGGTCATCACCAGATACAGCAGGTCTGACTTGAAACAGAGCAATCACGGCAAGTCTCACCCAAGCAGTAACACATCAACGCAGGAGTAAAGGACAAAGTGAGGCCGAATTCGGCAGAAGGAACTTCTCCTGGCACTTCTTCCATCACTTCCTGAGTGGATCTAGTTCTTATCTGCCTCTGGTTTCCAGAAGGGTAAGGGGAAATCCAGTGTTCCCGCTCCTCGCGTAAATTGAGTGCAAACAACTGGCAAGCACACGCCTCCCACAGCATGCATGGGCTGTGTGTCAGCCAACAGCTCCCAGTAACAGGGAGACCAGTCTCATAGCTTCTCAAGTGTTCTTCTGAACACTTTCCTTTGTCCAACTTTAACAGTTTATGTATTTTAATGCTTTTTGAAAGATGGAGAGAGAGTGCGCAGAGAGAGAGTCTCTACCTGCTGGTCCACTTCCAAAATACCCTACCTAGCCAAGGTTGGGCCAGACAGAAGCTCAAAGCTGGGACCTCAATGCAGGTTTCCTGCATGGGTGGGAGGGACCAGAGCCCACGAGCCAATCTCTGCTGCCTGCCGGAAGCTGGAGACGGGAGCAAAGCCAGAACTGGAGCCCACGTGCTCTGAGAAGCGCTGTGAGTGTTCCAAGCAGCATCTTAACCTGAGTGAACGCCTGGCCTCCTTGGAGTGTACCTTGAATATCCCACAGGTGGTGCACCCTATCAACGCTTATTCCTGCAAGGCTCTATCTCCCATCTCAGGTTCACCGTGAAGGTTAGGTCAGTCACAACTCTGTAACACACTGCGGCAGAAATTCCAGTCTTGTCCCTACCAACCAGCGCCTATGGCTTCCTGTCCAACTCTGACTTGCAATCTGGAACAAACACAGCACTACTTTTCCAAGAAAAAAGTGTTGCAGGGAGAGCAGTTCTTCCTCTTCAACCAAGTCTGAGGATCAATCTTGCTTTGGAAACCAGAGAACCAAAACAGTGCTACTTGGGACACAGATGTGCCATGAGAAGCCAAGCCCAGGGGCACTGGACCAGAGGGGAAACTAGAGAACACTCTTTCTTGCATGGGCAAACCCACCACTGCCAATGCCCATACCACATCTGTCGCTGTCTTCATTGTGTCTTGGGAATTTAGCATCCTCTTGCCTTCCTTTCCTTTCCAATTCCTCCTCTCTCCCACCCCAAAACACCTCCGCCCCCAGAACCCGAGAGAATGAATGCTGGAAGGCACACACAAGGGACCAAACCATTTGTCCCTGGCACTGGGCACTGATGACATGACCTTCACTCAGAAAGGTGGGGTCCAGAGATGTGACAAATGAAGCAAGGATGATATATCATAAGTTGGGGACAAATGTAGGGCTCTGAATTCGGGTGCCCAGTGCCCTCAGTTCTTCAAGAGAACTTGGGCTAGACTCCCAGGGACCTGGAGGTGACACGGCATGCATCACTTTTGGCATGGGGCAGATTTCGGAGCGAATTCTGCCTCTCCCATTTACTTGCAGTGACAATCCCTGGGCCCTCCATGACATTGGTTGTTGCTCCCCCTCCCCGCCCCCCCGCCTGCAGATAACATGAGCCTCCACAGCCACTTCAAGAGGGGGCAGGGGAGGGGGTTTCATATGCTCTCTGCTCCTTGGCTCATACATGGAATCATCACCGCCCCCCCCACCTCCCAGGGCACGCCAGGCAAGCCTGACCCAGGACAGTTATGCCTCCCTCCTGACCTCCTGCTTGGGTTCTGGGATCCAGGCAGAAGAGAACCGACCGAGGCTGCCAGGACCCCCTCCCTCCCCTCTCCCCGCCCCGTGGGCTCTCACCTGATGTAGGGGAGAAAGGGGTTGACGTGCCCAGACAGCACGGCCACCACGTAGGAGATGATGAAGGCGGCAGACGACCAGGTCACCAGCAGGAAGGGAACCAAAGCCATTCCCTTTAGGAAGCAAAACATCGCGCCAATGCCGCCGAGAGGGCGCTGCGTGCGGAAGGATCGGATGCCGGGGAGCTGCGGGCTGCCTGGAGGCGGCGGCCCCGGCGCGGACAGACACGGACGGAGCGGCGCGGCGCGGGCGGAAAGGCGAGCGCGAAGAGCCGAGCGAGGCGGCGAGCGGCGAGGCGGCTGGGCCCGGGTGGGTGGGGCGCAGGCGGCCCCGGCTTGTTGCGAAACCCGTGAAGTCACAAAGCCGTGGCCGGACCGAAGCCGGAGCGCGTGGCCACCTCTTCTTGACCCCCCGCCCCACCCCGCCCACAGACGCGGAGGGCGCCGACCCTCGGCCCCGTCCCGGGGCTCAAGTCACTCTCTCCAGGGGGGTGTGACTTCTGTCCCTTCCCCCTCTAGACTTCCGGAGTCCCGGCCTCGCGCTCCTGCCCACCTCCCGCTGTGGCTGTCCTTTCGTGATGCAGGGACCCAGGAAGAGGTATGCGCTGCGACGTTGGCCAGGTCGTGCTCAGGACACCGCAGTGTCCCCATCCGCCTGGTGCGCACCTGGAACCCAGGAGGAGCAGCGGGGGCAGGTGCGCTGGGGCTGGGCGCCGCCCACCGCTCTGAGCTTGCCAAGGACGACTAGAAGCATTCCTTTGCTCCGTGCCCCATTCTCTCTTACACGGATCTGAGCCTAGAGGGGAAGACTTTCCCTAAATGAGTCATGGTGACTGTTTCAAAACCCACAGAAGCGCTGTGAGCTTGCAGGGTCGGTGGTGTGGGAGTGTCAGTTGAAGGATTCTGAGCCCTCGGATGTGGCCCAGGTCACCAGGGCATCATGAGCGTGGATTCATTTCGGTCACAGATACTGTCTGCGGTGGCACATTGTGGTAGGAAATGAAATGAGTGTAGTTATTAGGACATCAAAAAAACAAATTATATGAAGAGAGAGAAAAAGAAAGAAAGAAAAAGAAAGAAAGAAAGAAAGAAAGAAAGAAAGAAAGAAAGAAAGAAAGAAAGAAAGAAAGAAAGAAAGAAAGAAAGAAAGAAAGAAAGAAAGAAAAGAAAAGAAAAGAACGAGGAAAGAGAAAGAACAGTGAGACAGACCCAGTGCTAGCGGTGTACCGGGCCAGGTTCACACGAAGGCCCAGGCAAGTTTCCCGCTGATCGACATCAGAGGTTTCTAAAGGAAACCTTAGCCCACCAGGGACAGAGAAGGGGGCAGAGCATTCCAAGGAAACAACAGGTGGGAATGCTGAGCCGGAAGGGGTTGGAACTGGGAAAGCCCTTAAGTGTGGGGCAGGCGGAGCAGAGGGGTGCAGAGGCCAAGTCCTCAGAGCCCTCCAGACACTCTTGGTTGGACTGAGTGGTAAGAACACACGTGAGAGACCACATGGCTGTGGGGTGAATGCCCTTCACACCAAACAGAACAGAAGCTCTCGGCCGAGACTTTTATGCCTGAGAGGCAGTGCCTGGCGGGCCAAGCGCTGGGTTCTCTCTGTCCATGTGGGAGATCTGGGCCAAGTTCCTAGCTGCTAGTGTTCAGTCTGGCCCAGGTCTGGCTATTGTAAGCATTTGAGAAGTGAACTAGCAAGTGGAAGATTCCTTAATAAATAAATGTTTCAAAAATGAAAATGAATTGGCAAGGGTGAACAGTAGTTGACCTAACAGCTAAGATACTGCTTGGGACACTCGGTGCCAGTCCCAGTTTCATGCCTTGTATAGCTTCCTGCCACCTGCACATCCTGGAAGGCAGCAGGTGGGAGCCCCGTCACATGGTCCCTGCCACCTGCATGGGAGAGCCGGACTGGATTCCAAGCTCCCCCTAGATCCAGCTGTTGTGAGCATTCGGGGAGTGGCCCGGTGACTAGGAAATATTGTTCATTCTCTCCCTGTTTATTTCTCTCTGCCTTCCAAAGAAATACAACAGTTTTTTAAAGTGAAGGTTATTTTGCTGCAAGGATGTTTGAAATTCATTCATAGTTCTTATTAATAGGCATTTTCCATAAACTTGTTGAAGTACACTCCTAAGTGTACATATGTGTGGCATCAAGTTTCCCCATTCCCCTGTAAAAGCTCCCAGTTCCACCGACCTGGAAACACCCTCTCCTTGAACAGTGAAGCATACCTCGGTAAGAAAAATGTGAGTCCTGGGAAACCACCTGGCTGGGTACCTTTAGGATACATAACAATGATAAAAAAAAATAATGTTTCTCTACTTGACTCCTGACTTTCTCTCTGGCAGAAGAGCAAAACTGACTCAGGGGAAGGATATGGATGCAATTGCTTTTTCTGTGGTGGCCCCCATTTACTGAGAGGCTGGGTGCTCCCTGCTCTACGTAACCCTAACAGCAGCTCTGCGTCATTAGATGGAGCCTCAGGGCCACACAGAAGTCAAGTCCAGGTCCACGTGACTCTGAAGCCCACGGCCCCACCTGTAGGGAGGAGCAGGCCCATGCCTCCCGTTCTTCAAGCTCCAGAACTGCAAAAAGGAAGCATCCCAAAGCATATGGAGTCTTCTCTGCAAATCTGATACGTTTTTCCAATCAAAATAAATTAGTCTTAAAAAGAAGTCTGCTGTTAGCTGTCCTACAGCGATGCGCTTGGTGCGCGGAGACAATAATGACACGCGTGAGCCACGACTGATGGTCAATAGTCAAAGTTTGTTAGTGGCATCAGACTTTTATGGACTGAAGATTACATAGGATAAGGGAGGAGGTATTGAACTTAGGAACCATTGTTTCCACACCCTTGTTTGGAGCTCTTTTATTTTGTATATCCCATCAAGTGTTCTCAATCACAAGCTGTCCACCCAGTTCTCATACAAATGATATCTAATCGGTTGCAATCCTGTGCTCGCTGACCTTCAAGGGTCACAATGTCCTTCTACAGTCAGTCTCTCTTCTTTTTATCAGGTCTCCCAATTTTTACAAACTCAAACTGCATTCCTTCTATTTCCTTATTGTATTTTTTGCTTTTCTCATGACTGGAATTTCCACTTTAAGGTACCATGTTATTGTTGATTGAATGCCAACATCATTTTTCAAAAAAATTAATTTCCAAAATCATTTTAAATCTCGAGACACTTGAAACACTTTCTACTCAGCATTATCTCAATTGCATTTTAGAGCTTGACATTCTGAAGATTTCCTTCATATCCACTATACGCTGAAGCCAGACTGCAGTCTGTAGGGCAGTGGTTCTTTTTTTATGCCCATTCTCACTTCAGCCTCACAGCCCTGACCTCCAAGTGAAAGCCCTGCTCAGTGCCCTTTCAGCTAAAACAGCCCTCGAGCTGGACTTGGTCCCTAGATCTTGTTTCTTGTTTGACATGTAAAAATAGTACATCCTCATCACTTGGTTAACTTTTTGATGCTTTTAGAAGAATGCTTTTGGGGCCCGGCGCAATGGTGTAGTGGTTAAAGTCCTCGCCCTGAATGTACCTAGATCCAATATGGGCGCTGGTTCTAATCCCGGCAGCTCCACTTCCCATCCAGCTCCCTGCTTGTGGCCTGGGAAAGCAACCAAGGACGGCCCAAAGCTTTGGGACCCTGCACCTACCTGGGAGACCTGGACGAGGTTCCTGGATCCTGATCAGCTCAGCTCTAGCCGTCCCAGCCACTTGGGGAGTGAATCAGTGGATGGAAGATCTTCCTCTCTGTCTGTCCTCCTCTCTGTATATCTGATTTTGCAGTAAAAATAAATCGTTTAAAAAAATGCTTTTGTAGCTCCCCAGATTCCTCAGCTGTGTGAATCAACTGGCTCAGTATTACTAGAAACAGAGCGAAGTCGCTCAGCTGCTAACACCAGATGATCCGGTACGAAAATCAGCACTGGCAATTCCATCTCCCCCAGCAAACTTGTACGTGCAATCACAGGAAGATGGCAAACTATTTCTCCATTTTAAAAGTTGCAGTATTCTTTCCCCCACAGAGCCAACTAGACTCAGTGACTTGGCTTCTGAAGATTAGAGTATGGAAAGGGGGAAAAAACTTAAGGAGAAATCTGCCAGATACCTCTTGCCAACCAATTGGAGCTAACAGCACACACACAAAAATTCTCTTGGTTAGATGAGATACAATCAAATGGCATGATAAACAGTTCCTTTCTCTTTGATACTTCTCCAAACCCACAACCTCCGTCTAATCATAAGAAAAACATCAGAGAAATCTAGATTGAGGATGATTCTACCTTCAAAAGAGTCAGGGTGATGGAAAACAAAGACTGGGAAATTGTCACAGCCTGCAATGGGCTCTGGAGACACGATGACCATGCAGTGTGGTATTGCAGTTTGCATCCTGGAACATGAAGAGGGCATAGTGGAGAAAACGGGAAGATCTGAATTAAATGTGTGAGGTTAAATGTCTGAGATTCGAGAAACACATTCGTTGTTGTATTCAAGAAAGTTGAGTGCAAGAGGGCTCTGATTTTTTTCAACTTTTCTAAAAATCGAAAATATTCTAAAAGTTTCTTTTAAAAAAAAATGCTCCTGTTATTTCTTCACCACAAAGTCAATGTTAAGTTCTCATACTTGGGTTGAATGTTGGGCACGGCAGTCAAGGTGCTGCGTGGATGCGTGTATCCCAGGGCAGCGTGTGAGGGCCCCAGCTTACTCCGCTTGCAATCCAGCTTCCTGCTGATGTGCAAGCACGGGGGCAGCACATGAGGCTCAAGAACTTGGGTCCCTGCTACCCATATGAGAAATTCAAATTTCCAGGTTTCTGGCTTCATCCTGATCCAGTTCCAACTACTTCAAACATCTGGAAAATCTATCAGCACTACCATATGGAGGCATTCTTGCATCTGTCTTTTAAATAAAAGGAAAATAAATAAATGAACATAAAATTTTACACATATAAACAAATGCTTATTCCCAAGCATAAGATGTTAGATTAAATATTTGCAGCATCTTGTATGTTAATCATATCTCACCCAATAGAGTAGCTTTCAAAACACTGAAATACACATATTCCCTAAAAGTTATACTGTGGATCGGCACGTACTGTTTACAAAGTTCACAAAATTTTGTTTAAAAAGTCGGTTGTCAAGTAGTATGTATGCTTTTGTAGGAGAAAACACATGTACATTTATTAATATATTCAAAATAGGCACAAAGAACGAAGTTGT